TTCACTTATTCTCAGAAAATCATCATCTTCCATCATTTATCACAATATATCATCATCATCATCAACAACAATTAAAATTAAAAGAAATAGTAATCAACTTCGCCCCTAAATTTTCTGATTTTCCTACCGGCTGCGGAGGCATACAAATACAAACATATGCCTACATACAAACACACATATAACTGCTCACAAGCACACACACCCACCAACCCACCTACACTATTATGCGGTACTAAGCGTGCATGCAAAGTAGGAAAACAGAGAAACTTAGATATTCAATTGCCGTTATATTTACAACAGTTTCGGCCTTCGTCATAAACAGTTGATGCATCAAAAGATGGAGGATGATATAAAATACAAAAGTTTGGAAAGTGAATTTTATAAAAACAAGCATATCACAAATAGTTTAGAACTACAAATTATCATTAATTAATCTTTAGCTAACAAAAGCAAATAATAAACATAGATAGAGACCATGATGTGACCATATTTTCTGCAATACCATGTGACCTAGATAAATAATGGTCATGATGACACCATGCCATACCATGACTATACATGCACATCATGACTTTATAGTCATACAACAGTTTTTTTTATGGCCTAGGCAAAGTTTAAGAGATAAGATGATGTGGGGACAATATGCTCTATTTAAAAAGAAATTTAAGAGGAAGGCGCTCAAAATGATTTCGCACAATGGGTCTGTTTACACTGTGACTATACTGATCAAACAATAAAGCAATTGTTCATATAGAAAATACAAGAAATAAAAGAAGTTTTCACTCTAGTCGATAACGATTAATCGTGTATACGATAAAAGATAATTTTACAAATCAAATTTAATGACGTCATAATCAAGGGGAAAAATAAAATCGTTTTTGCTACTACGATGTTATCGTTTTCCATGATTATGACGTTATTTAATTTGATTTGTGAAATTATTTGTATATTGTACCGTATACATGATAAATCTTTGTCGAATCCTTCTAGTGTGAAGACTTTTCTTATTTCTTTTATTTTCTATATGCAAAATTGCATTTTAGCTTTTTATCGTTGATCGTTATCGTCATAGTACATTTGTTAGGACCAAAAAAGGATTTGTCGAATCCTTCTAGTGTGAAGACTTTTCTTATTTCTTTTATTTTCTATATGCAAAATTGCATTTTAGCTTTTTATCGTTGATCGTTATCGTCATAGTATATTTGTTAGGACCAAAAAAGGATTTGTCGAATCCTTCTAGTGTGAAGACTTTTCTTATTTCTTTTATTTTCTATATGCAAAATTGCATTTTAGCTTTTTATCGTTGATCTTTATCGTCATAGTACATTGTTAGGACCAAAAAAGAACCGGATTCTTCTCAGTGTGTGTTTCAGTTATTTAAAATGGAGGTTGCGCATATGACAGACCTTTTGCAAATTGATTGTCCAGACAAACTCTAAACTCACCCTCAACATGGTTTGGAGCTGAGGTACGAAATATTTTGGCTTTTGCATCTCATACGCCCGGAAATGGCGCTCTCAGACATAATTTTGACCGTGTTTTTCGAGCTTCGATGGCACGAAGCGGTAGGACGTAGTAATTAATGACGTCACTATTAGCCATTAACGCAATTTGACTAAAACTCATCTCCGAGTTTCTGAATGTAGCGTACGTTTTGTAGAGAACGTAGGACGGTCAGGAATGACAAATAAAGTTATTTATTCATTTATAGACGTTTTGATAACTTTACAAAAGTTATGTGTCAAATGTTCGAAATATTAAAACGAAGAGTTTCAACAGCAGCGACTTAAAGCGATATTCTAGTTCATGTAAATGGTCTGCATATCTCTTCAGTTGATGTAACAACATAAAAGTCAGCATCTTCTACATAATCCAGTTCTGAACTTTGACCTGTACTTGTACTCAATATACACTCGTTCGAAGAACTGATAAACGAAAATGAAGCACACAATTCTAGTCTACTGCATTCCAGTGAGCATGCGCCAGAACTCACTGCCAATAGTCTCCTTACTACGTGTTCGGCTGCCGGTGATTTGTGTCTTTCAGATATGTAAAAGCTTTGATAGATAATACTCGAAGCTGTAACGTAAATCAATACAGTGATATATCTGTCTCTTATACACATCTAGATGTGTATAAGAGACAGGGTTAGGCCTAGGCATATACAAACTATTCAAACATTAGACAAACAATCAACACTATTTTAAATAAAGTGCATTAATTTACATGTTAATTATTAGATCAATTTAACTATCTAGGACCTACTACTACTACTACTACAGCTAGGCATTACTAAAATGCGAGTTTATTCGTCGTGGAATGTGGATGATGCCTTGAAAGCTAGCTCAAATTTGCGCGGAAAATGGC